TAGACTCTTAAAGTCTATTGAGGATAAAACTTTAGAGAAACCAAAAACCTCTATCCTGCCTTCCATTAGTATCGGCACGTACGACCTTATTGCTATCCCGGATAGGAATAAGAAAACCACAAAACATGTGACCTCTATCCGAGAACTACGAGCCGAGATCAAAATCATCAAAGCAGAGCTTAAGGAGCTCAAAGAAAAATAAACCCAAGACTCGGGACTCCCGAAACTCCTTCTAGAAAAACATATAGATCAAGAGTCCGATTCGAGGATGAAAACCTGGACATACAAAACTTAGAAAATCTAGAAAGGTTCCGGAAGATTTTCTTTTCGTTTTACGAGAAGTAACTTCTCGTAAATACCTAATCAAAATCACTCTTGTCTTTCAAAATAACTTTAAAATTGAAACTATTGCCTTATTTGATACCGGTGCTAATTTAAATTGCATAAAAGAAGGTATAGTTCCAAAACGGTTTCATATCAAAACCCGAGAAAGACTTTCACGCAGCAAACAATTCCAAAATGACCATACATGGTAAGACGAAGCCTCCGTGGTTAATGGAACAACTGCTATCAAAAATCATTTTTTGCTTGTTAAGAATATGCATCATATGGTAATATTAGGCATGCCTTTTATTAATCTTATAACTCCTTATAAGGTTTGTGATGATTGCATTTCTTTCACCTCCAAGCATATAAAACTTATTTTCCCTTTTATTGAAAAACCTAAAACTAGAAATCTCAATATTATAAAAGCATGTTCTATTTATAATTTTGAGATAAATGCATTAATTAAAGGAAAACGAGCAGCAACTTTTACATTTATGTCAAGATGTATCTTTACAAAAAATACAACATCGGTTATAAAATGACTTGGTGAAAAACAAGATTTTTGATTTACAAAAACTTATTGAAAACGACATCTTGTTACGATCTACCAAATGCCTTTTAGAATAGGAAGCACCATAGTGTTAACCTTCCATACGAAAAAGATTTTGAAGAAAAACGATTCCTACCAAAGCCGGACCGATCCAAATGAATGCTAACCTTGAACAACATTGCGGGTTAGAAATTCGAGATTTAGAATCCAAAGGTCTTATCCAAAAATCTAGGTCACCTTGGTTTTGTGCAACCTTTTATGTCAATAAGAATTCTGAAATAGAAAGAGGAACACCTAGATTAGTAATCAATTATAAACTCTTGAACAAAGCCTTACGATGGATTAGGTATCCCATTCCTAACAAGAAGGATTTGTTATAAAAATTGAATTATGCTTTTGTGTTTTCTAAGTTTGATATGAAGTCGAGCTTCGGCAAGTCTAGATCAACCACTAGGGATAGATACAAAATTGCCTTTACTGTCCCCTTTGGATAGTATGAATGAAAAGTCATGCCCTTTAGCTTTAAAAATGCTCCTTCGAATTTCAAAAGATCATGAATAATATTTTCTAGCAAAACTTTGCATTCTCGCATTGTGTACATAGATGATGTGTTGATATTTTCAAATTCCATTGAATAACATTTCAAGCATTTAAAAACATTTTTCTATGTGGCTAAATGGTTTAGAAGTTTCAAAATCCTAGATTTCTCTTTTACAAACTAGGATTCGTTTCTTAGGCCATTACATTACCCAAGGAACAATAACCCCATAGTAGAGATCTTTAGCTTTCGTAAATAAGTTTCCCGATAGGATTCTTGACAAAACCCAATTACAAAGGTTCTTAGAAAGTCTAAATTATGTCCTAGATTTCTGTCCAATCATTAACCATATTGCAAAACCCTTGCATGATAGGTTAAAAAAACCCCAATTCCCTAGTCCGATGAACACACTAGGATAGTTCAACAGATTAAGAAACGAGCCTTAGAAATCCTTTGCCTTCATCTTGTAGACCCTTCTCTACCTAAAATTGTAGAAACTAATACGTCTAAATTAGGTTATGGTGGGATTTTAAAACGAGTTTCTATGGGAAAAGAACACATTGTCCGAGTTCACTTCGCACATTGGAATAATTATCAAAAGAACTACTCTACTATCAAAAAGGAAGTTCTTAGCATTGTCATGTGCATTCAAAAATTTCAAAGCGATTCATTAAATAAAAAATTCCTTCTTTGCATTGATTGTAAATCCGCAAAAGAAGTTTTACAAAAAGATGTTCAAAATATTGCATCAAAACAAATTTTTACCGGACGGCAAGCCATCCTTAGTATTTTTGATTTTGATATCGAATTTATTAAAGGAGAACAAAACTCCATTCCTAATTTTTTAACTCGAGAATTTTTACAAAACAGGACATGATGCCTCGAAAAGCCAAAGGAAAAAAGCCTATACAAAATCCAAATTTAGAACAAACCCAAAAACAAGCCAAATCTCCAAAACCTATCTTATCGACCTAAACCATTATCTCATGGGCCGATGCCGTTGCAAACCAAAAAGAAACACCCGAAAAGGCCCAAATGGTTGAACTCGGGTCCAAAATCTTTCAAGGTAGCCGAACTCCTTCGGCCTTACAAATAAAAAATTCCTTCTTTGCATTGATTGTAAATCTGCAAAAGAAGTTTTACAAAAAGATGTTCAAAATATTGCATCAAAACAAATTTTTGCCGGATGGCAAGCCATCCTTAGTATTTTTGATTTTGATATCGAATTTATTAAAGGAGAACAAAACTCCATTCCTAATTTTTTAACTCGAGAATTTTTACAAAACAGGACATGATGCCTCGAAAAGCCAAAGGAAAAAAGCCTATACAAAATCCAAATTTAGAACAAACCCAAAAACAAGCCAAATCTCCAAAACCTATCTTATCGACCTAAACCATTATCTCATGGGCCGATGCCGTTGCAAACCAAAAAGAAACACTCGAAAAGGCCCAAATGGTTGAACCCGGGTCCAAAATCTTTCAAGGCAGACCGAACTCCTTCGGCCTTACAAAAAATCTCGGGTATGTCTCCTCAACCGGATTTAAAAATCGAGAAAGGTTCTTCCTCCTCAAAACCCTTTTCTCAAAACTCAAACAAGTCTTTACAAATTTCTTCTTCACAAAACACTCGGGTCGTTTGTTCTCAAAACAAATTTAAAAAATCTAACTCCGAGTATTTCATGAAAAAACATTTTCAAAATATTATTACCATAGAGGATGGATTTTTTAATCAAAACCCTTCTATGACAATACAAAACTTTTTCCCTCCTGGATGGAATTTTAAACCATGGGACTTAACCAAAACTCGGTCTTATTATATGGCAGTCCTTGAGCACTCGGCTCTGTAAACTTCAAGCATTCTTGGTTTAATGAAACCCACAAAGACCCAAGCATACTTCATCTACCACATTCTTAAAATATCCATCCAAAAGACTGGAACCAAGATCTTACAAAACCCAAAAACTTCCCGACTAACTTTAAAACAAAATTTGACCATTGCCTATCCTACACCTATTGGGATTACCAACAAGCATGGTTCAATGCTTTCCTTTTATAAAACAAAAAGGGTAGCCATTCTTGGCTCTTCTATTTCGATATAAAAATGGACAATTCAAACCTTCCTTTCGGTTTCTCCGAGTGGTGGAACTACTATGGTTCCGTCCCAAGTATTCTCAAACCGAATTACTCGGTAGTTACAAACTCTTCCAAAATGGTTACAAACCCTCGAAACGGAAAAAGATTAACTCCTTTTTTTCTTTTCTCGCATAAAATTCTTCTTATCATGGGTTTGCTCTTGGTAGTATGACTATGATCACCGGGACAATATCGTAGTATTAATCAAGAGACTCAAAGTCAAATGGTGAGCCTCTTTCAACATCCCAAAAACACCATCTAGAGCCTCGGTCGAACAATGGCTCACAAAACAAGGCTATTCCAAACCAAGCCCGGCTCCTACAAAATTCTAGTCCGAAGGGCTTTTGCCAATTCAAGATTAGCAACGGCCCAAACGGAAGAAGAATACTTTGCGGCTTTATCCCAATTATTGCAAAGTAGGTCCGACGACTCCCGGACAGTAGATTCGAATTAGAGCCTATCATTGACTTAGGCAATGATAACGAAGATGACTTGCTTTGGAATCTTTCCTCTTGCTCCTCATCGGTGACTCTTTCCGAGTGCGGGACTATGACAAAACACTCGTTCGATAATTTAAAAAAAACTATTCACTACCGGACAAAATAGCTTTCGGCGTCTTAATTGTTCATCCACATGAGAAGACACTATGCAAGCTACTGTTCGATCTTGTTCACTCACGTGAGATACTCGTTCATCATTGTTCACTATTCAATTCAAGACAACTCCCTTTCTCTATAAAAGGAAGCTCATTCTCACTTGTAATCGGAGCATTGTTTTCTTAGAGTTATTTAGAACTTGCTTTTCTCTGTAAGCTTGTTCCCTTGTAATCTCTTGTAAAACATCTCTCATTATGCCCAAAACCTTCGTGGAAATCAAAACTACTCATGTACTCCTGTTTATATCAAAATTGTAAGTTTATTTCAATAAAAATTTACTTACATTATCTCATGTCTTATTCTTCAAAACTCTTTTAATTTCATAGTGGCTGGCCCTGTCGCCCAATTTAATTTTTGCTTTTAATTTTTGTTTTCATCCCGTATCTTAGTGGTCGGCTCTGTTGCCCAATTTAGTCATTTTCTTTTTTCATTCCCGCATATCATTTTCCTACACTTTATTATCATTTTCCGGGGTGTACTGGATTTTTATGCTAGAAATTGTGAGGCGGACGAGCTTGGTTTTAGAGCTTCTGTTTTGTGAGCCATTGTTCAACGAGAGGCTTTAGACGGAGATGCTGAAATTTTGAAAGCATCCCACCATTTCACTTGAAACCTTCGACGAGGATCCCTAGATCACCTTGGTAAATAAAATCATAATACCGAGAGCGAGACCCAAGGAAGGAAAAATTTTGAACCGAAGAGGAAAAGAGGGGTAAACCGTCAACAGTACACCCTAGAAAATAAGTAAATGAAGTGTATGACAATTATATGCAGAAATGAAAAACTAGAAGAAGTCATGGTCGTCAATTCTAGATATAAAGGCGAAGTTTCAATTTTGATATTTTTGTCAAGGGCTTCTTCTAAAGAGTTTGGTGCTAAAAGAGCGTCAATGATAGCATTGAGTTCCGGTTCGGGTTGTTTTGATTTTCCTCTAAGAGGAAATCCTCAATAGAATCTATTGCTATTTCTTCAAGAGATTGAGGAGATCTCTCAATAGCTTTAGCATCGAGATAGTCTTATGTTTGGTCGGTATCTAGGCCAACAATGGTTATGACATCTTCTAAGATATCTTCTTCCGGAACCGGCATTTGATTAAACTCAATCGCCTCATCTTAGTCATTGTTAACACCTAAATTTTGGTCCCCTTTAGTTATTTATTTGTTTTTGTTATTACGAAAATACCCAAAAAAGGGTAAAAACAAAAATGGAAACAAAAAAATGGATAAAAGAGAAAATCAAAAAATGAAAAAAATCGGTTGGGATAATTAGTTTAGGTTAATTAAAAAAAAAGAGAGGAGAGAAAAAGAAAGAGGAAGGGGGTAAATTGAAGAAGTGAAAAGTTTAGAGGTGATAAAAGTGCAATTGAAGATCCAATAAAAAAAATCAAAACTCTTGTCCTTTAATTAAAACAACAAGGGGGCATAATTGGAAAAAAAAGAAAAAGTCCTAATTAATTGGGATTCAAGGGGTCTCATTGAAGAGAAAAATCAAGATTGAATTTGAATTAGTGCATGAGAAGAAACCAAAGAATAAAGTGACATTTGGCCTAAAAACCTACATATAAAACCACCCCATGCATTTCTTTAGGGGGGACTATTCATCACCACCCACAAAGAGAGTGCCGACCGCCATCCAAGAGAAAATCAAGTTCTCTCTCTCGCTTAAGCCTCCACACGCCCATAGCCCACAACAAACCCTCTCGCCCAAGCCTTCTCCTTCTCACCAATAGCCCACCTGCCATGCACCAAACCTCCACAATAGCCCACAACACTAGTCGCCTCTCTCTGCACCTCACAAACCCATACAAACCGACTTCCATGGCCACCCACACAAGCTGACCTCTAAGCCTCCATCTTTCACACCCATTTTGTATTTTGACTATAACTTGGGCTATAAACATCCCAATTAGGTGATATTGGATTCTTTGAAAAGATAACGGACTGAGCTATAACTATTGTGAAGAGTCAAAAGCCTAATTTGAAATATTTGAAAGTCAAAATGGGGCTACAAGTCAGAAGTTAGAATCCATCCAGCAAGTTTTTTTAGCATCAGGACCTGTTCGGTTCAGAGTTCATATCTTGGGTTATAGGAGTCCAATTGATGAAAGGCTAGTTGCGTTGAAAAGATGAAATCTGAACCTATAATTGTTATGAAGACACCAGTTCAAGATTAGGTCGTTTTAATTGTCAAAATTGTGATTGAACATGCTAAAAGAAATTTCTCACGAGAGGATGAAAATTCCGGACAACCCCCAAGAACACTTCCAAAAACTCTCACTTCAGCCTCCTTTAAAGCCCCAAAACCAGTCCTTAAAGCAGATACAAATGAGATATAAACCCCCCAAAAGTAGCCCTACAACCAGCCCCAAAACAGACCTGAAAAACCCACCAAAAACCCTCCAAAATAAACTACGTAACCATTACCAATGTCCCCAAAAACCCTTGTAGAGAAACCCCTTTGGGCAGCCCATTTAAACCAAAAAAAGAGCCACTAAAACAACCCTAATACAGCTTCAATATAGCCCCAAGAAACCCCCAGAAAACGTCCCAAAACGTTCCAAAAACCAGACCCAAAACAACCACCAACAAGCAGCCTTTACAACCTTGAAACAACCACCAACGGACCCCAAATACACTTGCAGAGAAGCCCTTTTGGATAGCCTATTTAAACTAGAAAACCATCCCTAAAAAGAACTCCAAAAAAGCTTCAAAATAGTGCAAAAAAATCCCCAAAACAGCCACCAAGACAGTCACAAAACTTGCCTCAAAACAGACCCTTCGCACACTTCTTTGGATCTCATGAAAAAGAAGAAATAAGAGCAAAAAATTTTTAAGGGACTAGGATGTTTTTTTTTGTTGTTTTGGATTATATTGGCAGGAACAACATGACGTTGTAGACTGCATTTCTTTGGGTTTTGATAGGAAAATACAACAAGAAAGTCATTTTGAATTTTTAGGAAATCTTACAAGATTTCGGGAGCCCCTACAAATTTTTTCGCAACATTTGGAATAGTTGCACAAGTAATGGAGGAAATTTTGGAAAATTAATCTTCTTTCCTAGCTAACCGAACAATCGGCTTTTATCGAGACTAAAGAGAGTACAATTGATTTTGTTTCGGACATCGAAGTTTCGAGCTCTTAGGTAAAACTCTAAAAACATTGTATATTTTCTAAAAAAATGACAAATGATTAAAAATGATTGGACTATTGGTTTGCATGAATGAAGTCGTTGTATTTTTTTTAAATAGCCATAGTCTAAATGTGATTGAAATAAACATTGCTATACATAACCGATATCAAAAGACAAATTAAGTTGCTTTTTGGTTTGTATGCTTAGTTGTCCAAATGTGAAGTCTTATGATTTAATTGTCTATCCATGATTGATTTTCATGAAAATGAAGTCGTCGGTGGCTTCCTACTTATGTGACGAAGCCATCGGAGGGCTTCGGAGCAATTTTATCGATTTCTATGCTTGATTCCTGTTTTGTAATGCCTATTTTCCTTGATTTTATTGCTTTCGATCCCTATTACTCGTTTTCTATTTTTCTCGATTTATTTCATCAAAACAAAGCCATCGGTGGCCTCAAAAATAGTTTTTTTTATTTAATGTCCGTATTGTCTGTAGTGAAGCGTCGGTGGTTTCCCACTTATGTGACGAAGTCGTCGATGGCTTCTAAGTAATTATCTCGCTCCTCACTAGAGCGACATGAAGTTGTCATTGACTTCCCAATTCGTGTTGAAGTTATCAATAACTTCTTATATGCGTGACTTGAAGTCATTAGTGGTTTCCCACTTGTGTGAGCGAAGTCGTCGGTGACTCATAGCTCATGCCAATAAAATGCTATTTATCTGTAGAAACTTGCTTATTGTCAATAATAGGTCATGTTTGCTAATGACTAGTCGAAATTCTCATTTTTTACCTATTTTCCATTTGGGTAGGAAATATTAGCCTTGGACGAGCTTGAACGTCCAAACTATCCTATTTTATATCCAAGCCACCCTATCCCATATTTTTACAAGATAAACTATTTAATAAGCATAAAAGCATAACATGATAAAAACTAGATTTTTATATTCATAGATAAATGACGCGACCTACCTTAGGTAGGACGCGATGGTGGTGATGACATGTCTTCTCCATACGTAACCGACCCTTTATCCAGATATCCATGTAGACCAATATGTTTAGGGTTTCCTAGTTCTTCCCGATTAGCTAGGTGGTGACTCCTTTGATTTGGCCTCCTCCTCTCGTGATGGCCGACGTCGACGGAATTGGCGATTCCGTTGGGGACAAGTGCCATGCTAGGGTCGAGCTTTGAATGTCCGTGTTTTGAGTCTTTGGTTGTTTGTTATGTCTCTATGCCTATCGATTATGATTGTTATTTAATTATGTAATTTTTTTTATGTTATGGTAACATGTTTGTATATATATGCGTTGTTTATGTGCTATTGTTACTATAGATTGGGTTGTTTAATTTCTTAGACTTTTTTTTACATTTTGAGATTGGATATGGAGTTATGCCCTCACATAATACACTCGCATAATCTTAAATGTCATATGCATTTGATTTAGGATCTAGGGAAGAATTATCGATGCCCCGATGGGCTTCGCCTCGGGTAACACTCAAGAAACCTCAACTCTTTTGGAAAGTTGCCACTATTACGATAGGTATTCGATGGTCTCCATGATTACCACCTTCGCACTTGGTCAACCTCGATTCTCCCGAGCTAAAAGGGACCCCGTTGAGAGTTAGATAGATCCTACCTAATCATGTAATTTCTAGAGCCGGACACTAGGACCACCTTTCCTGTATAAATTCACTAGGCAAGTCGGACATGTCGAAACCTTGATCAAAGAATCCGGTCATGAATGTTTCAAGATGGGTGACAAGAGAACTCGAGTCCAAACCCACTCGGTGGCTGAATTCAACAAAATTTCTAAGGTTTTGCAACAAACGGATGGGGATTGCCTAGGTCCTAAATTTCGGAGCAACCATAAGAAAATCACACACTTTCGGTTAGTGATCGGCGACAATCAAAAGTCTGTTTGATTGTTGAAAGATGCTGAATCCTAATGATCGGTATAGATTTTGAGCCAAATATGGGAATCTTGCAATGTTACTAGAGGTACCGGTTCGAAGCCCGCTCTCGAGGCCTTGGCTTGCTTGTGGGATCCTTCATATAGATGTTTACTATAGGAGAACTTGATATGACATCGACCTTAGAGGAGTATCATCAACTTCTAAACATGTCAAACACTTTGCATCGGGTTTATCTATACCGAAGATGATCAAACATCGAGAAAAGAGTGAAGGATTGGTTAGACATCGGCATGAGTCATGGTAAGGCTAAAGGGAATGTCAAAGGTTGGCACTTTGAAAGTCTGGTTGGATATATTCAAGTAGAAGCCGAAGGATCCACGAGCTACCTCCAAGAGGATTAAAATTCTAGCATTGATGATCTTTGGGTTAGTGCTTTTCCCCTCATCATCCGATTTGATCAGTTTTTGAGACACCGTAGGAGGTTTGGGAAAGGTAGTTTGAGATGTTGTGTCCAATTGCTTTTTGTGTGGGTAATTAGTCATGTCGAAGCCCATAAATCAATTTTTAAGACATCTTAGTGGATTGATCAAGAACAATTGAGGGAGTTCCTAGCTAGTACATGGAAGAACAAGTCCGAACAAGAGTGGTTTTCATCATTTCGAATTTGTCGAATGGAGGTTTCTTATGGAAGACAGTTTGGATGAGTCGAATACCTACCCTACTATAGAGCACGACCATGGGTTCTTTTGATAGGAGCAACTGGATATACTTGTTACGCTCCCTCTAGGGTATCAAGATAATTTGGCTATGAACAAGCTATACCTAGAACCGTGGGCCTAAACGGATTTAAAGGAAAACTTTAAAAGTGAGGCCACTCCCGAGTTCCTTGAACGGGTTTTGCAAGATTGGTTAACTCCAAGAATATTGGTAGAGGAACGAGTTGATCATGAATTAGCGATGAGTCGAGAAGTATCTTATCCGGCAAGCAAACGGGGTGAAAGACTACCAACATCCGACTAGCTTTGACCAAGCCGTAAGAGAGAGAAGTCTAAACCAACCCGCCCAAGAGAGTAAGTTGATCATACCACGAGTTTCAAGTCTTGTGCCTAGCTAGTTTAAAGGAAAAAAAAAGAACTGGTGATTCCTCGAATTAATCCCTTCGGACCATCGGGACCTTATCAAAGAAGTCAAGAGGCTTAAGATCGAGAACCAGAAATTGACAAGTGATTTGGCCAAAGAAAAGCAAATGAGAGAAAAGGATAAAGAAAAGATAGCAAATGCTGGAGCAAGATCCGAAGACTCGACGAGGTATAGCCACCGAAAAAGAACATTGGAAATCAATCTATCATCGAGCTCAAGCGGAACTATAGGCCAAATGTGCTGAGTTAGACAGGTTGTAATCACAAGATAGACGAGTTGAGCTTGATCTAAGGAGTCTAGGTTCGAAATGCAAAAGCTTAAAGAAGATAATTTGAAATGGCAAATGTCAATAAGTGTTGAATGTAACAATCATCGAGATTCAATGGAGCAAGTTGGGAGTGCACAAAGTCGGATCACGGCACTCAAGAAGGAGAATCAACATTTGGAAGGAGAGCTACTTAAGTTGTCCTCGTACTCGGGCCACTATACATAACTACTTGGCTCGAAGTAGGTAGTGAGCGAGGCAAAAACCTGGTCGTGTTAGACAATCAAGCCAATGAGGTCTCCAAGAAAGCTATAGCACTTCGAGAGCTACGCTTGGACATCAATGAGGATAGGGTAAGAAACCATAATGGATCTATGATCGACTACATAAGG